ACATTGGTGAATAATGATTTTACATCAAAAGAAACCATGAGTAAATTACGAGGAGAAATGTTTTTAACCTTTTTTACAAACTCTATTGAATTTTTTATGGTGTAAATGTTATTGTCTAATAGAGTGGAAAATCTAGAAACTAAATATTTAGCTAATAGGATACGAGGCAGTACCTAAATTTGATACAATAGGGCGGAAAGGAATACCACTTTTATGAATTTTGGGAAGAGCATATAATCTGGCACAATTCGCAACAGATGGGATAAGCGAATGTTTTAAGTTGCTTGAAATGATTTGCGAAGATTTGATCGCAGTTTTTATTTTGGATAAGTCCGAAGGTGAAGGATCTTTAGGGATCGGATTATATGGTCCTTCGTTTAAGAGTTTAGTGACACCATCGATGTAAGTGTTCTTATCCATGACGACTATCTGGCCACCTTTGTCGGCCTTTGAAATGACAATATCCGGGTTAGAATGAATCTCGCGCATTGTAGCTCTTTCTCTCGCAGTTAGATTTGGTTTCAAAGGTTTATTATTGAATTTCACATTATGTCAAAGGTTTATTATTGAATTTCACATTATGTCAAAGGTTTATTATTGAATTTCACATTATGGTCAAAGGTTTATTATTGAATTTCACATTATGTGAAATTCAATAATAAACCTTTGAAACCAAATCTAACTGCGAGAGAAAGAGCTACAATGCGCGAGATTCATTCTAACCCGGATATTGTCATTTCAAAGGCCGACAAAGGTGGCCAGATAGTCGTCATGGATAAGAACACTTACATCGATGGTGTCACTAAACTCTTAAACGAAGGACCATATAATCCGATCCCTAAAGATCCTTCACCTTCGGACTTATCCAAAATAAAAACTGCGATCAAATCTTCGCAAATCATTTCAAGCAACTTAAAACATTCGCTTATCCCATCTGTTGCGAATTGTGCCAGATTATATGCTCTTCCCAAAACTCATAAAAGTGGTATTCCTTTCCGCACTATTGTATCAAATTTAGGTACTGCCTCGTATCTATTAGCTAAATATTTAGTTTCTAGATTTTCCACTCCATTAGACAATAACATTTACACCATAAAAAATTCAATAGAGTTTGTAAAAAAGGTTTAAAAACATTTCTCCTCGTAATTTACTCATGGTGGTTTCTTTGATGTAAAATCATTATTCACCAATGTCCCAGTGGAGGGAGGGTGCATTAAGATGTCTAGAAACCAGACTTCGCGAATTTCATTTCTCTTGCATCGAAATTGATGAGCTAATTTCTCTCACTCAACTGTTTGAAACAAACACATTTTGTTTTCCAAAATAAATATTACAAGCAAACTGAGGGATTATTAGCCATGGGAAGCCCCCTCAGTCCCATCCTGGCTGATATCTACATGCATTATTATGAATCAAAATTGTTTGAAACTTTAAACTTCCCGGCATGGTTCCGCTACGTAGACGATACTTTTACCCTGTTTGAAGGTAATAAAGATGATTTAAATAGAGTTCTTTCAACAATGAATTCTATTGATCCTGCTATTCAGTTCACTTTTGAACTTGAGACTTGCAATTCTCTTCCGTTTCTCGACATTCTGGTCACACGTAAACACATCCAACTTCAGTACTACAGTTTACCGTAAACCTTCATCGGTTTGCCTTCCACCACACTTTAAATCAATGTCATCCGACTGAAACAAAAGTTAGCTTCATTTTATTCCTATGTTTTCCGTGCTCTTCAAGGTTTGCTCCTCCAAACTAGCCCTTGATGAAGAACTAAATTATTTAAAAGCAATAGCTATTGACAGGGGCTTTTCACCCAACATTATTAATCAAGCAGTTAAAAAATTCTCATCTCAACACACTAAAAGCCACACTCTTATTTTAGGAGATTATAAAAATTCTGTTGTCATTCCCTTCTTTCCATCAATTAGCTATAAAGTTGCACATATTTTGCAGAAATTTAACTTTCGGGTTGTTTACTCTCCCATCAATAAAATTCCAACTTCTATACTCGAGGACCCCATTCCGGATATGAATTCCTGGGGTATTTATAGGATTCCTTGCCAGTGCGGTTTAATTTACATTGGCCAAACTAAGAGAGCCTTAAATTCGCGTCAAAGCGTCAAAGAACATGAGGCATATGTTAGAAAAAAGGAAACACAGAAGTCTTCTGTTGCTCAACATTGTTGGTCCGAAAATCACACTTTCAATTTTCTGCTGCCAAAATTATTCAAAAAACATCTTCCATTGGAGAACTGGATTTTCTAGAGGCATTTCACATTCATAAAAATCTTTCTGTTCTGGTTAACGATCCTAATTCCAATCCAAATTTGCCTTCGGCTTTTAGAGAAATTCTGTTTTAGTTCTGGTTTCGCCAACAGATGGCGCCACTTGCTTATTCTTGTCCAGGCTTTCTTATCTTATCTAAACATTATTTCCTATCTTGTTCATTTGCGGTTTTGCAGCTGAAGATGATGGTTCGGTAAAACCATCGAAACTAGTCCTGTGAAAATTTTGTGAATTAACGCTGATTTTTGTTGTTTGACTTCTGAATCGGTAAATAATGACAACTTAGTCTTTTCCACTCTTTATTAAATTTTCCTTCGACGCATAAATAAAAACACATATACTTGTGCGTAAATAATTATAAACTTCTTTTATTTCTCACTAAAACTACGCACTTGATGGCGTTTCCATTATCTTAGAGCTTGTAACCTGAGGGATGGTGTGGTGTATGTAGAATACGGCAAAGCATACGAGGGCTATCTGCCTAAGAGGAGGGATGCCTTCGTGGAGGACTTTCTAAGAAGAACTGGCTCGTATACCCGTTACACATGGGGAAAACCAAGAAAACGCCCATGCAGCCAGCCCGTTCGTGGGATTCGAACCTCGGACCGAACTACCAGTGTTCAGCGATTTTACCGCTTGGCCGCTGGTGGGCTGTAAACTGAGAGAAAAATTACTACAAATCATCTGCATTGCGGATTGTAGATGCTCACTGGTCAATCGCGTTTTGTCTTATTAATTTTCAGTTGTGAAAAAAATTCTGTTCACACGTAAATGAATTCTAGAACAAAATGATATTCTTAGTGCCAAAATTCATAACTGAATTTATTTAATTTTTGACATGTAAAGTTAAAAAAATCTATAAGTTCAAATCTTTGTATAAGATCTATAACGCACTGTAAATTCATCCTTATCGAATTTCTGCTATTTTCTTCATTTCTAATGGGTCAAAGCTGAACTTCAAATAACCGAAATCTTTTAAATCCTTTCACACCGCATTTGCAACAAGTACATAGCTAAAATGTACTCACGGCAGTAAAAAAGTGCTTCGGGGGCCGCCAGTTTAAAATCCGCGCCTTAAATTATACTCGTAAACAGAAATAAGGAAATAAAGCCGAAAAATAGCTGTAGTTAAGAAGCAGCGAAATCGGACATAGACTCCTCTTTGGAAGTAAACATGCTTAGAATCAGAAGATCCATAGTATTATTTCATTATTCTTGGTTCAAGCAGGCTTTTATTCTCTTAATTCTTCAGCTTGTTTCAGGCAAGCTCATTTTCTTAATTCTTAAATGTCCTACAATATTTCAGTTTTAGGTATGGTATATCTGAATAGTTCGTATCTGAATAGCACATATTGAATTATTATTACATGTATATTATGATACTAAACAGCATTAAAATAAATTTTACAGAATGTTGAAAATCTTAATTTTATAGTCCTTTAGAAAATACAACATCACAGTTATAATCTTAAAATTTTTATTTATTTATTTATTTTTTAAATGAGAGTTTTTCAAGTACCCGCAAGAAATTCTTTATGGAAAAAGGTTTTAATGTAAGGAAAGGTAATCAGTTTTAACTTTCTTCGCATCAAAAGTTTGCAGTAGCAGATAGCAAGCTTGAACTTACAATTTAAGTTTTTATTATGCGTGTATTTTTAATATCCTTCGCAGTGCAAAAAGAGTAAAAAATACATATATATATGTATATATATATATATATATATATATATATATATTCAGGTGCAGTAATCTAAAGATTTTTTAAGTACTTGCATCTCAGCCACTTTAGTAGAAGTCGCCAAATTTTGCCAAACTCTGGCAGCCATGCTCATAACATTCCTTCAGTCAAGCAACATCGCCATATTTAGTTCTTTTTGTTATATTCCAAGTTATAGCGGTTTTTATAAACAAACCATGATCTTTTCTGATTAAAGTCGATTTTAAAATATTTGGAATATTTGGAATATGGCATTTGCCAGCCATGAAATTTAAATATTTGGAATTATGGCATTTGCCAGCCATGAAAGAAGGAATGTAGTATTTTCCCGCAAAATTTCTAAAGAGACTGATGATAAGGTATGTCTGGAGTGCACAATGGCGAGTTTGTGCCATTCTTTCATGCCTTTTGAACGAAAATAGATAGATGTGTATATGAGGAAAACAGCGGGGGAAAAAAAGACAAAAAATTTTCGTTAAAAACATGTTTTATTTTTTAATGCATTCTATAATTCTTATTTAATAATTAAAATTTGTGTTGTACGTTTTACATTAAATATCGCTAGTTAAGCAATCCTTTTAAAGAAAGTCGCGAAAATCACCAAACGTATACTTGGATAAGTAACTTTTCATCTGTAAAAAAAATCGCCATATTGCGTCATGGTGTTTGCGTTAATACGTAAGTACCGATTTTTACATTGCTCAGTCTCTAAAATAAGACAAGTGTATGACTGATATTATTAAGTGATACTTATAGAAGCTGTCATTCATCCATCTGTATTGCACAATCATAATGCATATAACATTAAAATTCTTCTAAAAAATCTCACTTTTCTTTAATTTACGAAAAAAAAAATTACTGTGATCAAAATCGAACTCTTTAATTATAAAGAAATAAGTTAAACAGAAAATAAGCTTAACAATTAAACGCAAGTTAACATAAATGCAGTTGTGCGAACAGAAATATATATAATTATAAATATGATACATACTTTAAACAAGTTGGTAACGTGGTAAAATTCTTTTCCTGATACGGTTTGTTTCTCTGTGACGAAAACTCTTCCTTTGAAAAGGAACACATAGCGCTCTTCAAGATGCCCTTCGTTGCCTTCAATAACATCGAAAGTATCCTAAAAATTAATAATAACAATAAAAACAAAAGCAACAACAAAAAAGATTTTATATTATGTCCAAAAGCGCGTTTTTTTCATTACACACATACGCGTTTCGAGAGCATTTGAGATAATGTCCCTTAGGGCTAAAAATATTTCCCTTAGGGCTAAAAATACACACACATACGCGTTTCGAGAGCATTTGAGCTAATGTCCCTTAGGGCTAAAAATATTTAAAAAAGCATATCTTTACAATTTGCAATAGACAGTCTTGTGTGCTGGAAACAAAAATGTTTTATTCCCGTACAGTGTTGCCAATGCTTCCTTTGAAACTGTTGGGTCTTTAATCAAAAAGTCGTTAGGTTTTACAAAATATGAAATAGACAATAAAACAAATTCCAAATTTGGACTTCTAGGTGTCCATCTTCGGAGGGAAGACTAAGTTATTCAAAATTTGATGACTCTAGGTACCCTTTTTTCCCCACGCTGCGAGAAACATACATATATTCAGGTTGATTCTTCATTATAATACAGGGCGATAATATTTGGTAACAGCAATTTGAAAAGTCATGCATCGCATTCATGTGATTCAACGCAAAATGCCGTTTCGAGACTAACAGCCCTTCTGGATTGACTCCCCTTTCGGTTAAAAAGAAAAATGAAGGATAATGTATTGAACGTTTCCTTTTTAAACATTCCGAATTTTAGTATCGAAAGTCAATATATAAAGATTAATATTTTATAAAATAAATTTAAGGGAGTTGTTAATTTTATGCATTAAATGTATTAATTATTCCCCCTTTAAAAGGTTTTCATATGTATAAACTATTTAGGAAAATGTTATACGCATAAATTATGCATTAAAATATTAAATAGAAAGGGAATGCTGAATGAGAAATCTTAAAGAATAGCGTTGTTTGTAAAAAAAAAAAAAAAAAAAGAATTTTTATGCATTTATAATTACACATATGCAGCAAAACAAGGTATACAAATAATCTGAGTGAAACTACACTTACGGGTTTTGGTTTGTTTTTGAAATTCACGTTTTTGAAGACGTCGACAGCTCTGCGCATCGCGAAAATATTTATTCATAAAGACTTCAAACAGAAAAGTCATAAGGACGAAAGGAAAATCCGTTGTATTGTGGCGCCATCTATAGGCAGACGATTATATCACAACGTTTTTATAATTTCATATACGCTCATTAGATAATTTTAAAACCATTTCAGTATCAGTGTACATCTGCTTCTACATAAAGATATTTATTTAACATGATCTTAAGCTAAAACGTTTCACTGTAACATTGATAATCTGAATAAATTATGTGTAAAGTTTCCCTTTTGTATAAAGACAATTCCTTTCAACTTTTCTATAAAAAATTAGTTATTACTAACAATTGTCAGTTTCAGTCGTTACTTGACATTGGCAAATTATTAATATTCAGATTAATTGCAAATTGTTCCAGCTCTAAGAATGTAATTGCTTTAAAAATTTAACAGTACTGTTTAAAGAATATTAAATGGCAGAGATCCATGATGCAAAAGTTTCTAAATTACTTTTATCTAAGCAAATAAATAATTAAATGCTATATATTTATTTGTTTAAATAAAACATATTTAAACATTTCATACTCCAGTTTCCGTAAAGAAAAAATAAATAAACATAAAAAACTCAAAAAATTGTCATTCCTTGCATTCTGAAAGTTCATTCCTGCTATTATAAATTAAGCAAATAAAGTCAGCATGTGTAAATAGCAGCAAAATTCACTCAAATTTCTTTGGCAGTACGTTGAAAACTTATAAACGATATCAGTATCGGACTATCTCTTGAAACACATAGAAGCTTTTCAATTAATTTAACATAAAATTAAAGTTCATTTTAAAAATATCTCTCATATCTCTTACCAGTGAATGATCTCGGCTATAAAAAGAAGTCCAAAATTATGACACTGTGGGATAAATAAACGGTAGTCAAAAGGATGGAGGAAAAAAATTCCTCCTACAATTTGAACATTCAGCAGCAAAGTGTCTAGAATACAAAATGGTACCTCTAGATTTACTCCAAGATCACAGCTATAATTTCGAGAAGCGCGAATGTAGAAATAAACAACATAATATATAATAATAACAATGAATACTGCCATTTCGTTTCCTAAAAATATTTTTAAAAATCCTTATCCTTTTTATTATTATTTTATCACATTTAACTGTTCCACCCAACTGAAGCACTTTCACACATATTAAGCCTTTTATTACATCAATTCATAGACTTCAACTCCTCTGCTCAGGAATACACAAATCTAATAGTAGTGACGAACGATTTTCTGGAACCCCTGAACCAATTTCCAACACAGAGGCCCTTCTCTTTTTCCAATTTTTGCCACTGCACTTCTAAATGGTTTTGTCATTATCTTAAAGTTTCATGTTGTGGTCATTTTTACATACTCGATTGTCAGTTGACTTCAAACTGCACAAAACTGTATTTCAAGACAAATTACCAATTCACCTGGTGCATTCGCAACAATCGTATTCACACTAAACTTAGAATTGATCAACTTAGGACTGTCTACTGTAAACTTGCACGTAACGTTTTGGAAAGTCAATGAAATATTCAAAACTCTGTGATAAAAATTTGTAATTACAATGTTAACGATCTAGCAAATGTAAAATACCCTATGGCAATTCTGAGTGACAATATTATCTAACTATTATTGCTTACATTTTGATTTTGCTTACCTCACTTACATAGCAATATTGCATGATTACCTTATCTGTTCAGTAATGCTGTCTCTCACACTACTCATACGAATATATCCCGATGAACTATTTGTCCTCAACATCAGTGTTCTTGTATCCTAATTGCATTATTATTAGTATATGTTTAATATCTCACGTTTTAGATTTTGCACGCCTTTTACTTTCTGATAACCTCTCACCAAAGGATTCACACTTGTTCTTCTTCTTGCTATGTTTGCTTCGATGCTATTCTTTATCTTTCAGGTTGTCAGTCACCAGCTCGTTCTGCTCTCAACCGGATGTGCATTTTCAGAGTTCTCTCCGCACGGTTTCACCCCATTTACTTCTTTTAGCTATCAATTCTATATTAATTATACTTAGTAGCAACTCATTAAACTATTGTTTAAAAAATATTAAACTTTTAAGTTGTTAATGCATCCATAATTAGGAAATGCCCAATTCTTTAAATCGATAGAGGTAGGGCCTGTAGCCCAGGTACCCAGGTGTGTACACCATTCTCCTATGAAACCTGCTCCAGGAAAAAGACCTCTTTCTTTAAAAATGATATGGCATCCAAATCATTACTGAGTAAAAATTGTTAACGTAATATTCACCCCCACGAAAATCAATGAATATATTTTTAAATATATGATGCGAATTCGAAAAACCTAATCAAAAATGAATAATATAAGAACACGTGGCGAGAGCAAAAATGCAACACGGTGCTAATATACTAATAGCACCGTGTTGCATTTTGGGGGGGTATTAGAACACGTAGCCGGTGCTACGTGCGAGGTGTAAGAAAACGCAGCCAGCTTTGGGCAAAATATCTCAGATGACTGGCGTTTCAATCTCGGGGGCCGCTATAACAAAGGAGTACCTACAAAATAAACTACTTTGAGCATAACGCGTAAAGTAACAGAAAATGGAGTACTACTTTTATTTTACTTTTTTTTTTTTTTTTTTTTTTTTCAGACATGGCACATGAGCAGGGAGGGACTGGTTTATAAAACTCACGTGGACTATCTAGTGAAACTCCAATCCAAATTTCTGCCAACAACACTCCACAGAATAGAGGAGAGGCTTACTCTTCTCTTGCCTAATCACCAAATTCTCGAGAAATAATTGAAAGAAAGTTTAAGAAATTTAAGCAAATTATTGATTGATATGAAAATAAATTTTAAGTTCTCGTACAACGTATCTTTTCCTTTTAACGAAAGCTTTTAATAACACTTTTATTGCTGCGAGTTCTTAGAAGGCAACGATTTCTTACAATGCCGTTATTATAAACACGAAGGGTCATTTCCAGAAACATTTTAGTATAACCTTAAAACTCTGAAATACTCCCAAATGCCATGAGTAAGTGGTATTTTCTTGATTATAATTCCAAATCGACTCTCTCATTTTGTAGCTTAATTCCTTTTCTTTCAATATACATCCAACCCGAAATCAGATCCATCAGGAGCTGGCAAAATTCTACCGGGTGATCAAAAGTCAGTATAAATTTGAAAACTTAATAAATTACGGAATAATGTAGATAGAGAAGTAAAAATTGACACACATACTTAGAATGACATGGGGTTTTATTAGAACCAAAAAAAAAAAAAAAAATATGTTATCGGGCCTTTTTTCTTCGAGGAAATGCGTGATTCTGGTTTTGTAACTGCTATCGTGACGAGTGAGAGGTACGCCGATATGTTACAGAATCGCATCGTCCCCAGCCTGGCTGATAAACACCTGCTGGAACGTACGATTTTTATGTAGGATGGCCCTCCACTCCATATTGCTAGACGCGTGAAAGATCTCTTGCGAGCGTTGTTTGGTGATGATAGTGCGCTCAGAAGCACTTTCGTCATGCTGGCCTCCTAGGTCCCAACCTCAGTCCGTGCGATTATTGGCTTGGTTACCTGAAGTCGCAAGTGTATGTGATCGACCGACATCGTAGGGATGCTGAAAGACAACATCCGACACCAATGCCTCACCATAACTCCGGACATGCTTTACAGTGCTGTCACAACATTATTTCTCGATACAGCGATTGTTGAGGAATGATGGTGAACATATTGAGCATTTCTGTAAAGAACATCATCTTTGCTTTATCTTAATGGTTATGCTAATTATTGCTTTTGATGTTATTGCTTTCTAATTGCTTTCTTATTTGCTTTTCTAATAAAACCCCATGTCATTCAAGTATGTGTGTGAATTTTTACCTCTCTATCTACATTATTCCGTGATTTATTAAGTTTTCAAATTTATACTGACTTTTTGATCACCCTGTATATCTAACGAAATGAAAAGCCATCTTTCTATGTAGAATTACTTAAAATTCAGACTGCTTTTGCTTTTCTCTAATATAGCAAGTTCCAACTATTTATTTCATCAAAACATTACCTCTACTACACTGCAAACAAGTGAAAACGTAGAATTTGTATACATGTCAGAATCCTCCAGTGGTGAACTGTAAGTAGCTCGCAGAGGACCGGACGAGCCGTTGTTAAATCTGCTTGTAATTTGTAAGCGGCCGTGCTCTTTTTGCTTACTTGTTTACATATTCCAAGAAAAGCACGCCTTGCATTCTTAATCATACTTTAACTTATGTTAGCCTTTTCGCTCTTGAGAATTAGGATCTCAGCTGGTTTCCTTTAAATTCGGTCAGACGCTTTATATGTATAGCATAAAATTTAAATAAATGCTATAAAATGCCGTCTGTTTTTAATAAACTTGTGGGGGGAACTTGTGTATTAAATTCTAGAGATTGTGTATCAAATTGTTTGATATATAAAGACAATGAAATGAATTCCATGTTTAAATTTATCATTAAAAATATCAGATACAAAAGAATCTTTAAAATAATTGGCTGTATAATCTTCTTAAAAATTGGCTCATACGGGAATTTCTCAATCGTCTTTTCTGTTTCATCTTTTGGTCAAAAAATCGTGCCGATTCATTCGCTGCTATCCTTCCGCCTCCCTCACTGCTAACCCTACTGACAGAATTTTTCCAGATTCATCCACTGCTGGGCCTAATTCCCTAATCAGTAATCCGTATTGATATCAGGCAGAATCTTTCCCGATTCCTTTCCTTTTAAAAATATTATTGCTGAGAGAGTTATTTGTTGAGACAGGTAATATTACGTGATGACTGCCCATTGATTTATATATTTTATCAATCTAACCAACATACCGACTGCTATTACGTATATTTAGAACGAAGCACAGGTATTAAATGCAGGTTTGTTTTGAATCAAATGTGATTATTCTAATTTTTTAAATCTCAGTTTAACACGTGATTATATATATATATATATAATATTTATTTTACTTTTAAAATTTGCAATGCATAATAAGCC